AGAGCCAGCCCTCAGCCGTCAGGCAAGGCAGAGTCTGGCCCTTGGGAGTCAGGCGAGGCGGAGTCTAGCCCTCGGAGGTCGGGTGAGGCGGAACCAATCTTCTGTCGTTCGGGCAAGAAGTGTAGTAGCGTTCTTGTCTGACCGAAAGCGTTAACATTCGATGGTTATTAGCTCCACCTCATAGAGTACCCCGGTATTAGGTTCCCGACAGGAAGGGTCGTCCTCCGCGCGGTGAGACTGTGCCCTAGCCGGAGGTTGATGAAGCTATTGTCTTCAAGGATTTTTTTTGCCTGTGGCCTTCGCATACCTCCAGTCTATTTCCTCCGCTTGGTTTTCGAGACTTTTAAGGTGCAGCTCCATTATCTTACTCCCAACGACGTTCTTACGCTGAGTAAGTTTTGTTATGCCTACGAGACATGACGCTCCCCCAGATTTGGATATATTTTGTGCGTATTATGAACTTCAGCGTCAGCCTAAGAAGGCGAAGGTTGACGGCGTGGAAGTTGAGTATCAGTTTGCCAGTTGCGCCTTCATGGCGAAGAGGGCTCAGAAGGATGGTGGTTCAGAGATTTCCTTCGCACAGAAGAATAAGTGGGAGAAGGACTGGCCTCGCTACTGGTTCTATATGAAAACTTCCAGGGTTGTTCCCAAGACGGGGCCGAGGGTCAAGAAGTATCCTTTTGCTTCTACAATGGGAGACATGAAGCCTTCGACTCATGTGAGGCCTCCTGCAGAGGTTGATGCGGAGCGGGCGGCGTGTGACGCAGCCTTCGGCAAGGCCTGCCGCTTCTCTAGGGGTCGTGACCTTGTCAAAGAGATGGTGGTGTCCAATTTCTGGCCTTTGGGGAAACATAGGCCACGAATGACCATAGTGAGGATGAAGCTCCCTGTCTTCGGCAGCACAGAGGGAGAGTTCTATCCATGTTTCTATCTCACCCGCGCGAAAGAAAAAACCGACGAGGAGTTTGTTAGTGAAGTGGAGCAGTCCGCCTCCTCGTTGGGGAGATTTCTGAAAGGGAATATTTGTCTCGTCGTGCCATCAGCGGTACCATGCCCCGGTTAAACCGGGTATTTCAAGAGCTGAAGGTGAAGTATGGGGATCGTAGGGTTCCTGAGAAGGTTTTGAACTCGATCAAGGATAAAGCGACGAAGGCCTCTAAGTCTGCTGCGACCCCTATTGCTACGGCTTGGGCAGAGTCTAAGAAGAGGAAGGAGACTGACGCTCCGAAGGCTGTTGCGAAGAAGAGAAAGATGGCAAAGAACGTCATTGATGCCACTGAAGAGGTGGTGGAGAGTGCCCATGATGAGTCAGAAGCTACGCGTGCCATTATTGATGCTGGTGAGCCAAAGGCTTCTGTTGTTTGGCCAGACGAAGACCTGATGGCTTCATCCGTTAAGGCGGCGACTGTTGTTCCTAGGGCGGGAGCCTCTAGTGTGGAGCCGTTGCCCTGTATCCTTGGTGATGACTCGTCGAAGTCCGAGGGTGACGCTGCGGGGGCTGGTTCTGCCTTCACTTTCGCAAGTGAGGAAACCACTTCTGTCAAAGCTAGCCGCTCTGCGAAGGCCCAACATTTGGAGGAGTCGGAGGCCGAGTCCGATGAGCGTCCGTCTTCGGTTTTGGCCCAAGGTCCGGAGGCTATGCCGACCTCGCCCCGTGCTATGGGTACAGGAGCGTTGGGCTTTATTATTGAAATCTTGCACCTAGGTAAATCTATCTTAAGTGCTTTCTGTATTTTACTTATTTTTCGTAGCTCCTCTAATATGTTCTTTCATTTCTTAGCTGGTTTAACCAAGGCAATGGAGACGCCAATTCCTGGGGAAAAACCTGCTCCCGCTGGCTTGGATCTTGCTCGAGTAGGGTTGCGTGCTCCTCCAATGGCCTCGCTACAGCTTGGAGCTGATCCTTCAGAGCATGCGCCCCTAGCGATGGAGGTTTGATTGGCTTAGCTCTTGTGTTTTTCTTTGCCCTTGCCGTTGTTTAGTTCTTATTGTTCACTTTTGCTTCAGGCGAAGGTTCTACCAATACACTAAGTGGGTGGGTGGAAACCCTGCATGCTCTTTACAGCGAGATAGGAGGTTACATTTCATTTTTTTCTATTGGTTTTGCCTTACTTTTTCTTATATTTTGTTTTTTTTTGCTAGATCGTGTTCGCCGTCATTTTAAGGTGGTGGATTTCAACAAGCTGCTGCGTTACAATCTTGAGCATAACTGTGTGGCTAGTACGTAGGCTTTGTATTCTCACCTTATCAATCTTGGTTTTCTCTATTTTTGTTAACGTTTGTTGCTTTTAGGGACATCATATGTCAGAAATCCTTGAGGAGCGCACGTCCGAAGAAGTTATCAAGCGGGACGAGGCTATTGAGGTCCTTCAGAAAGAGCTGGATAGGGTTGAGGACGAAAAGAAATGGCTTGTTGTAGAAGTGGCTGACCTTCGTGTTGCCCGTTAGATTGTTCGAGATTTGAAGATCCCGGTGGGGGCCCTGGAGAAGGACGTTGTTGGCACGAAGGCCGCTGAAGAACTTGCCCTTGCCCGATTGCAGAAAGCCATCGATGCGAATGAGGGCCTTTGGAAGGAGATTGATGTAGGACGGTTAGCTGTTGCCTGATCTCCGCTGCCTGAGCTGATGTTTGGGCTGCCCATTGATTTGTGGCAAAGGCTGCTGCGACCCTATCTCTTTCTTGTTGCATGCTCTGTAACTGCGCCTATAATTGTTGAAGCTCTTGTTCCGGGGTGGGGTTTGGGGCTTTCTGCTCCTCGAAAGCCGGAGGCTGGTCTTCGACGGCCGGTTCCTCTGTAGCCTGGTCTTCTAGGGTGGTGGCGTAGGTGCTTCGGGCGCTGCGCCTGGGTCTTCCCCTTGGTGTGGGATCCGCAGGTGCCCTTGCTGAGGCTGCTCTTTTTCCTTGTTATTGTGGGTTTTGCTTGGCCAACACGCGATGGGCGTCAATGTTGGAAAACTAGGGGTTTCCAGCAGCTGGGATACGGAAGGCCTTCGCCTGGCCGGGTGCTCTGGGCGAAGGTATGTGAAATGGAAGTTGGGCCCAAGATCACTTAGGGTTTCATTAATGTATTCACCAACCTCCTTTACATAGCATCCGGCTTCCCCTTTCATAGGGCACTGCTCGCTACTACTTCACGCTACAAATTTGCCCTTTTACAGCTAAGGTACATTCCTAAAATCCTAACGCCGGTACAAATCTTCAGGGGCATCCTGGGTCTTGTCCACCTGCACCGCCTTTCTCCGATCTTGGGCCGCAGTGCTGTGAAGACCCCTTTCTCTCGGGCGAAGACAGCATAGCCTCCGCCCGAGCCACAGGAGCCTCCGCCTTCACTTCTGAGTCTCTACCTGTGGACTCCTTCGAACATCTTCAGGGTCGTGCTCGGGCCTTCGTCCTACCGACGGCCAGTGGCGGAGTCCTTCTTGTTGCTGGCGGAGGCCTTCTGGGTTCCTTCCCGAAACGTGCGCGGCCTCCGCTTGAATCGCTGGTGTCTTCGCTCCACCGCAGGCCCCACGCGAAGGCTTCACCTAGAGCCCTGCAAAACATTTACACAAATGTTTCAATGTTATTAGCTTATATTTGCATTCCAACGCTTGTTTTCCTTTCCACCCCTTTCCATCAGCTGTTTGGTGTTCTTTGTATCGTGAAAATAAGCACACATACAGTTTAACTACAACCAGTGAAATTAACAAAGGTTTATATTGCAAGTGCCTGGTATATTCATATATGCCCCATTCGCTGGTCTGAAACTTGGCTGAAAAAAACTGTTCCGGCTGAATTGTTGTGAGAGAAAAACATTGTTGGCTGATTTGATGAACAGTGCAATGAGAGGGGGATCCGCCGTCTGGCTGGTTCAGACCAGACCATCGAACAGCCCCATAATCTTCTCGTGGAACTTTGGACTTTTGCACCCTGATAGCCTAGTCAACAGTGCAACATGCATCAACTAGTAACATTTGAAATATCAAATTGATATTTTAATGCTTCATTTTATCAAAGTAATTCTGGTAGTTTTGTCATTATTTTCTATTTTGTGTGGAATCATATTAAAAAAATCTTATTATGTTTGTGCATCATGTTAAGCTATTTCCAAGGAGAATGATAACAGATTGTTTTTTTTTGGGAGACCCTTAATGCAGGAGTTCATCCAAATTATTCTGGATAAATTTGGAGGAATGTGTGAGAGGAAACCATCCGTGAACAGTAGTTTTTAAGACCATCCGAACGAGGCCTTTATGGTCTGTTCGTTTGAACTTATCAGCAAGAATCTACAGTGTTTTTCTTTCACAACAAAATAGCTTCAGCTGGCTTATCAGCCGACTTTAATACCAGTCAAACAGACCCTTAAATATACTATTCTTGAACATGGATCAACAAGCTGCAGTACATTTGGTTTTGTAGCAGTACATAAATATATTTCCTGAAACCATTGATATTTTTGCCATTTATATTGCCATTTAGGGCGTGTTCGGCCGTTCACTTGCACAGTGGATTTCGGATGATTGAGAATAAGCTGAACGTGAACAGCCGAACGCTGGGACTAACAGACACTAGGCTGCAAACCGTGGGCCATCAAAATGGAGGGGTTTGATGAATCCATGTGACATGCAGCACCAACCAAGTGGTGCACTTGGCACCTGATCTTGAGAAATAGTAACTGATCAGATCTGGTCTACAGATTAAGCTCCACCAAATCTTATCTACCATGATAAAAATCCAAAGTTGCATCAAGAGGGCACACAACCACAATACAGCTTTATCGAGATTTACATTTGATTTCAAGGCAACCAAATACATGATTTACAATAGCTGCTCTCCATATGCTTGAGAAGCAGTAGGAAGAAAGCTCATGAAACATCTGTCTGTCGCTAACGGAAGGAAGGAAAGCAAGCAACATGATGAACAGCCCATCTTTACCAAAAAAACGAAGATGGCAAGACATTACTAGGTACTCCAGATTAGATGAAGGACCAACCACAACTAGGCAACTTTTCCACTGCTCCTACTGTACAACCACCAGTCTTCCACTAATCTCGCCTCCGCCGCTGCACCTCCAGGTCACCTCACCTTGCCCGCCGTCGCCGCCTTCACCGCCACCGGGGCCCTTCGGCACTGTGACAACGAGCTGGCCGTCGACGTACCCGGCCACCGCCATGGCCGGACAGCTCGGCTCGGGCAGGCGGGACCGCCACCTGTCGAGCTCCATGCTGTCGCCGGCGTCTGCAGCCCCCTCGGCGCCGCCTCCGGCCTGCACCACGACCTTGGTGACCCCGGGGTGGATCCTGATGGTGCGCACCCGCACGACGCCGGCGGTGCCACGCGCACCGGCGGCTGGCGCCGCGACGAAGTGGAAGGCGTCGGGGCCTTCGAACACCTCGACGTCGGTGTCCGCCGGGAGCGGCAGCTCCAGCACCTTGCTGTACACGTGCGGCAGACGCCGGAGGTCCTTCTTGGCGCTGCCGCCAGCGGGAGCTGCTGGGTGGATCCTCATGTGCTCGTACGATGGAATTGAAGTCCAAAAGTGAAGTTTTTTTATCGCCCCTCTCGATCTTTCCCTCGGTTCCTTTCGTGCTGTCTCCTCTCTTTTGATGGTTGTTGGACAGGGTAGGTATGTAAGCTAGGTGAAGAGCGGGGAGAGGCTGGGATTTATAGTGTGCCACTGCCACACAATGACACAAGTGGGAGGGCCCTAAAGGAGGAGCCGGTGGCGAGGTGTCACAAGGTTCTTGACGTGTGAGGAAGGAAGATAAGCTCAGGACAGTGAAGAGGAGTCATCGGAAAAGAAAGGATGGAGACGGCAGACGGGGATAGGCGGAGGGCGAGACCGACCGGCGGGTGTGTGTGCGTGTCTGCTCTTGTGCCGGTGGCCCGGTGCCCTGTGCGGCGTGTGTGCGTCGTGTGGGCACGGCACGGTCACGGTCACGCTGTGGGCTCCGGTGGCCTCTGAAGATAAGGCAGCAGGCAGCGGACCTGCAGAACTGGGCGTCCCCAGCGAACCTGACATGGGAAACATGGGGCTGCCTCCGACGGTTTCAGAATTCAGAGGCCAAACCGCTTCGGCATCTGTGTGCCGCGTGGGTGTGTGCCTTTCCGGCCAGGGAGTCTGGACTCTGGACGTCGCTTTGCCATTTTGACTGCGGCTGGTTGGTTGGTGTTACCCGCTGACGACCGGTAAGGAAGCGGTCAGGCCAGGATACGGGGAGTACGCCACGCTGGGATGGGAACCAGTGAACCACAAGCCAGGCTGCTTCTGGTGCACGTAAGGAAGCGCTCCCTGGTTGTTGTCCTGCGCTCCTGCATCTGCATCTGCACGATGCATGAGAGGCAGGATACGTGAGATACGGCTTGGCGCCTTTGCAGGCCAGGCAAGGCACCTGCCCGTTACGCATGGTATGGATGGGCGGCTGGGCGCCAACGAATGGTGGTGTGTCCTCTACCGGCGCAGCTGACGTAGTTACCGGCTGCTGGACTCTGGAGACTGGAGCTGGGTGGACATGCGTAGCGTGTATAGTGAGGGACTCTGGATGTGCACCGTGCACGACCAGTGCAGGAGCTTATCTGAAGCGCCGCGCCGTACAGGGTTTGGTTTGGTGATGCGTCAGCTCACACCTGTTTTGCTTATATCTCTGATATCTGGATATGCATGCGTGATCGCACCAGTGATAACCTTGAAAAGATCTTTTTTCCCTCTGGTTTTTTAATAAAAGGACTGTCATGCCTGGTGGGTTACCATGATGGTTGCCGTTGCTGTTGCTCCTTCAATTCCTGCTATGAAAAAAAGGACTGTCATGCCTGGTGGTTTTAGAATAAAATTGTGCGCGCGCGTCTCAGCTCTGGGATTTTGTTTTTCCCCGAAATAGAAACGGGTCGGACTTGTCTGTTCGATCGCTTGATTGGGTGAGCGTTTGTGATGTAGTGGAGTCGGTTCCCCCTATGTTGTTTCTTCTGTTTTGACTTTTCAGATGTGCTAGAAAGAGGAATGAGGGCATTCCTGTTGCAGTTACTCCAAATTAATACAACTGCAGTACCCATATGTTAGTCACTTTGCAGGGTCTACGTGAATTTCACATAAATTGTATAGGAGGAACAAGTTTGTTTTCATAGGGGGAAAAAAACCCCGCAGGAAACAAAGAAATCCATGCATTCAAAAGGGGTTCTTGTCAGACCGCGTCATCAATAACTGAATCGCATCACATCAAATGATCAAATGGACTGCAAGCAACAAACACCTAATAATAGAGTAATAGGGCTTCCCAATCCATGCCACCACGCTCTGATGTTAACTTTACAAGATAATTGAGTCTAGTTTCCAATCCAGTTTTTGCCACCACGCTCTGATGAAACTAATTTAAACTAATTTCTTTGCGAATCTTTTAATTAGTCCATGATTTGCGACAACGTGATGACTGAGAATATGTGCTTGATGTGATTAATTAGACTTAAAAAAATTCGTAAATTAACCTCTATCTATGTAATTGGTTTTGTAATTAATCTATATATTTTTCTTTATTAGTATCTAAACATTCAATGTGATAATTTTTTAAACAACCAAACACCCCTTATTCGTAACTACTTTTCGGTGGTAGAAAAATTTTTGCTTCTTTCAATATTTCGACGATCAGCATAAAAGCTAAAAATCAGCATAAGCTAAGTTTCAACATCAGCAAATAGGCGAACAATAAAACTCTGTGAGCATCAGAGTAAAAAGCATACACAGGTCGAGCAGGCAGTTACCTGTGACCTGTCCTCGCGGGTCATTCTCTCCCGTTTGAACAAAAAGCACACCAAAAAATCATCAGCCTGTCCGTTGCTGCAGCCTGCAGCGTGTTAGCCGAGGCTGTCGCGTCCGACGCGTCTTCGTTCTTCTCCAGCCAGATCTCGTGATTTCTACTGTACGTGTATTTAGCTAGCGCGGATCAGGGGCAGGAATCACACTGGCAGTTCGCCTCCTCCTCGGCTTCGAGCGATCGATTCGGCTTCATTTCACGCCGCGACATCCCGGCATCCCGCCGTCCCAGGATCCCACCGTGATAGCTTCGCCTGAACCACCGGCCTCTACCATTGGCGCTGCGTGTTCATTGTCCGCTGTCTCTGGTTCTTTGATCGTCTTTCATCAGAAAAAAAAAGTTAGATTCTACATAATAGTCTGTGATTCCGGATGCAAAACTGACTTTGGTCCCATTTGCATTATTGGAATTGAATTTATTTTAATAATTATAATTTAGATATAAATTAATTAAGTTAATATGGTTTTATATGTATTATATTTGTATATTATTATTAGTTATACAATAGAGATACTTATGTGTTTCATTTTCTATAAGAGCGGAGAGTGTTATAAGTTGAAGAGTTAAATTTTACCTTATCGAACAAGTTACAAAAAGTTTTTCTCTCAAACAAACATAGAAGTGTGTTTTGTAATTTCTATAGAATCGATTAATCTATAGAATCAATTTGCATCTCCCCTTATATATTTTATTAGGAGGGAGATTTTTAAAACGGTCGAAGGAATCCAATAAATGTGTTTCTAATTTTTTTAGCCACTTGAAAAACTCATTGATCTACCAAGTGTTTTTTTTTCAACTATTGAAGATGCTCTTAGTGTTCTATAAGAACTATGATAATACCCCATGTTTCTAAATAAATAGTGTTTAGTTCCTGAAAAAAAGACAAACTGCGTAGATTTTGGTCATTAATTATTTACTCAAGTTTTATGCATGCTTTAGTACATAAAAGCTACATCAACCGATTTGCATTCAACTTATCTTTGAATACCTACTTATTTAAAGTGATGATGTACCACAAGAGTAACTGATGGTCAGAGTATGGTTTTAAAGACCTTTCAAATCTGAATACGCTCAGAAATGGTGGAGTACAATGTACAATCCTACTATCGGCATTTATTTGGTTGGTTTTATAAATTGGTTTTGAAATTTGGTGATCTTTGGTTTATTATGAGAAAAAATATTGTTACCATACCTTGGTTTGTATTTATTTAAAACCAACAAACGAACATCGTGAATATCTCACCTCCAATACATTTTTACTCGATTTGATTGAGGTGTCAGTATTTAGCTCATTTACTTGATTTGATATTACCAAAAATCTAGATGGGCTCTTGTAACGCTCATCTGATCAAGTGATCAGAGACGAGACATGTCCCGTGTCTTGCCTTGGACAATAGCCGCCGTCCGGAGCCCCCACACCGCACCAACAAGGACGTCGGGTCCTACCCACGACGCGGCCGCCCTCAGTGATGTCCCCATCTCCTCTCCCGCTCTCCGCGTAATCTAATCCGCTGGTTCCTTCGGTAATTAACGCCAAACCCCAGGCCCCTCAACTAATCACCACTAGCCCACTAGCCCCGCAGGCCCGCAACGCACTGACCTGACCCGACCCGACCCGACCCGGGACCCGATCCGCCACAAAGCAGCCGCGCCATTTTGCAGTCACACCCCTCGGAGACGGAGGACTCCGCCCGCTTTCGGCTTTCCTTCGCGTTCCCGTTCCCCCCCATCCCCACCTGCTCGCCTCCTCCTCCGCTTCCGCCCCCTCCTCGCCCGTCGCTTCCTTCCTTCCTCGTCACGGGTCGTCGTCTCCTCGTCGCCGACCGGGACGCGGAAACACTCGACGCAAGCAAACCCTAGCCGCCGAGCTCGCGGCGAGCCGGGAGGTAGGGAGGGATGAAGAGCCTGTTCAAGAGTAAGATCAGGTGGCAGCACCGGTCCAACGACCCCGCGTCCCCGGCGGGGCAGCCGCCGCAGCAGGCGTCGGGCCCGCCGTCGCCGTCTTCCGCGAGCTCCCCGTCGGGGACGGCGCCGGCGCCGGCGCTCTCCGTCTCGACGGCGGCCTCCTCCTCGCCTCCCTCCGCGGCGGCGACGCCCCCGCCCGCGGGGGCGGGAGCGGGAGGGGAGGACTACATATCGTCCGAGGAGGAGTTCCAGATGCAGCTGGCCATGGCGCTGTCCGCGTCTTCCAACGGCGATTGCGTGGGGAACTTGGACGGGGAGCAGATCAGGAAGGCCAAGCTCATGAGCCTCCATCGCTTCGCCGCCCACCGCGACGAGACTCACACCGCGGAGTCGCTCTCCCGCCGATATTGGGTGAGCCTTCCATTCGGGACGATCATCAATTATATAATATACTCGACTTTTGGTGCCTCCACTTGCTAATTGCTCGTGAGGTTTTCGAAACCGTCTCTGCTACTTCATCACCATTTGGACAATTACTCCGCTACCGTTCACAGATGACATTTAAATTCGTGCGTTGGTTTCAGTATCAGCTTATGTGACTATGTATAGTTCCTAATTGAGCTTCACTTCAGTCCACAGCATGGCGGATCGCACATAGTGAATAAATGCATGCGCCACATATAAGCTTCCTGGTGGCTAGTGAGCACCAGTATTAGTCATAGAAGATGCTTCCTCCGATCACCGATATAATTTAACTCTGACCTAATTCAAACTTTTTAGCTCTGATGATCAATGTCTAAAATTCACATAGATTGACAACGCAAGATCATCGCTGCCTATATATAACTCTTTCTATTAGATAACATGTGTTTGTTGATATTACTAATCAAATTGTCAAATTGGATACGGCGTGGATGTCCTAATGTACTTTATGGTCAGAGGAAGTATTAGGTTGAGGCAGAAGCCACTAATTATAGGCTTCCTCGATCACATAAAGCAGCCTTTTTCTCCTCTACATGCTATGCTGATGCCGTTAAAACACTAGCTTGCTGAATCATCACTAAATCCTATTTATGGCGTCCGCTTGACGAATCAAATAGTGGTCTTGGTCTTCCCTGTTATGTCATTTAATAAGTACGCTTGGGAAACCTACATGCCAATAAACGCTGTTAACTGCTGTAAATTATGTCGCTGTTGAGATACTACCTTATTTCTTGATTGCTATTATGATTCACCTCAGTCTAGGAGTAGGAAATAATACATGGAGAAATGGAAATGCTACTTACTATTTAGGGGCTGCTTGCATGCACACAAAAGATACTGATGTATTCGCAGTGGCAAGCTGAAATGATTGGTTCCTGGTGTGCCAATGCCACACTGCTAGAATGAAAAGAAAGAGAACAAAAGAAAAGACTTTTGCTCCTGAGAAATGGGTACAAAAATATACACCTTTGTAGGCTCAACCAGAGCATGCAAAACCTAGGTAAACAAAAGGAAGAAGCTGTATGCATGCTAGATGCTCGTATATCTTGAAGGTGGAAGATAGTTAGCCAAGGAAGATGATGGATCAGGTAGCATAATTTTTTTTTTTCCAGAAGCAAATATATGGTTGCTGGTCAAATCATGCTGGTGTTACTAGTGTATCATGGAGGTGGGTAGGACTGCTATCAGGGGAAAACCAGGATCTGCTGAAGAATGGAGCTGAAGTCCTTAAAGAACTGGCGCTGCTCTACCATCTGCAGGAAGCAGCTCAGGATCAAGGGATGACTTTGATCGCAACCAATGATGTCGTGGCCTGAAGTTTTAGATGTGCCGATAAGTAAACCAAGTGGGCTGCTTGTTGGATGTAGTAACCTGTTCTAGCACCTTAGTGATGTTCTGTTTTTAATAGCTGCTTTTGGCTGGATCCATTGGTTTGGCTGGAGTGTGTTTGGAACACAGTTCTGACCAGTAGTTGTGTATGTCTTGCGCTAGGAGTAATGGAGACCTGAGTGCTCTATTACTATCCAGTTTTTGTCCCTGTATCGTTTGCAACAACTGTTGGATGCTTGCTTGCAATAAACTCTGTGGTTTCGTTGCTATAAGTAATGAAATTCGAGCATGCCCTGGTGTGAAAATTATCTTGCTGTCATTTTTTGTAGGTTGTGTTTATGGCGGCCAAATATTTGCTGAACAGATTCTTTCCATTGCAAATCCCTATTAGGACTCTTCTTGGAGATGCAAGATCAGTGTTTTTATTAACTCTAAAGTTTCTTTGCCTGTTGGTGTGTCTAGTTAGGTCAAATTCTTGTCATAATACTATTTGTTGGTCTGTTGATCACTACATACAAGTGTGGTTGTTGTGTTCTAACATTCATGCTCTGTTATGACATCTGTTTTTAACTTCTTTCAGGACTATAACTTTCTTGATTATCATGAGAAAGTTATTGATGGCTTCTATGACATCTTTGGCTCCTCTATGGAATCCTCTAAGCAGGGAAAGATGCCATCATTAGCAGATCTCCAAACAGGCATAGGGGACCTAGGCTTTGAAGTCATTGTAGTAAACCGAGCCATTGATAGTACCTTGCAGGAGATGGAGCAAGTGGCACAGTGCATCCTGTTGGACTTCCCTGTTGCCAATATTGCACTCTTAGTGCAAAGAATAGCTGAGCTTGTTACAGATAATATGGGTGGACCTGTCAAAGATGCTAACGACATGCTCACAAGGTGGCTGGAGAAGAGTACTGAGCTGAGAACCTCGCTACAAACAAGTTTGTTGCCTATTGGTTGCATCAAGATAGGGCTATCACGTCACCGTGCCCTACTTTTCAAGGTCCCCTCCCTCCCTCTTTCCCATGCATGCATATGCAAGAAACCTAAGCTAGCTAGGAAGTTACTAAAAAAGTACTCCCTCCAGGTTGGTAAAAGAAGTCGTTTTGGACAAGGTTTGGGTCAAACATTGGGAATATAAATCATGAATAACTTTTAAGTTGTTGAGTTTGAAAATGTGAAAACCACATGAATAGATTTGTCTTGAAAAATACTTTCATAAAAACATACATGTATCACTTTTTAATAAATATTTTTATAAAAATAAGAAGTCAAAGTTATGCTTTGGAGACCGTGTCGCTGTCCAAAACGACTTCTTTTACCAACCTGGAGGGAGTATTGTATTGTTTCAGCTGAGAAGCACTTGCTTAAGAAGCTATGTAATTATGTCCTGTACCTCTCCGTGCAGATCCTTGCAGATAGTGTTGGGATTCCATGCAAACTTGTCAAAGGGAGCAATTATACTGGTGGTGATGATGACGATGCTATAAACATAATTAAGATGGACAATGAAAGGTATCAATGTTTAATCATTGTGCTATGTTCATACTTCATAGCATAAACACCTAAGATACTTCAAGTTATGCTATCCATGTGCTAGTCTTATTTACTATATTCCAATTAATTTGTTGCTGCTCTATGTTTACTAAGTGGTTTTTTGGTGTAATTTTTCTGTAGGGAGTTTTTGGTTGATCTGATGGCTGCTCCTGGTGCTCTTATTCCAGCAGATATCTTAAGTTGGAAAGGCAATTCGTTAAATTCTAATCGAAAACTCGCCCTGAATCAAACAGCTGGATCATCGAGTACTGTTGATGCTAATATGGATCCTACTGTTTTGCCACTTGAACCTAAAGGTGGCCAACTGCCTTTGTTCAGCAGTGGTGATTGGATATCAGATAGTGGTTCTGGATATGAGGCAGCAGAAACTGCAGCTTCTACTCAAACCTCTTCGGGTGTCACATCATCTGTTCCTGCTGGAAGTGTTTTTGACGGTTCATGGATGCTGGTTAATCATGACCAATCAGATGGACCATCAACTTCTGCCGGTACATCATCCCAGCAGAAAGTTGTACCGCAAAACGAACATCAGCGGAATTTAAATCGCCTTCCAGATTTGCAGGAAATTCCAGAGTCAAATAACCTTTTTGCTGACCTTAATCCTTTTGGTGATATGAAGTCCAAGAAAACTTCAGTACCATTCAAAGGACCAGATCATAGGAACAATGAGTTGCAAAAGCGCAGAGAGAACATAGTCCCTAATGCTGGAAGACCACAGCAGCGGTTAGTTATGAAGAATTGGTCTCCTTACAATGATGTTTCCAACAACAAACAGTACAATTATGTCGAGGATTCGTTTGCTCGTAGAAATGTTGGCGATAATGCTACATCATCATCATCCCAGATGCCACGACCAGCCGCAAGGTCTAATCTTAATTCTGGATTGCGTAATGATGCATCATATCATAATTATGATAGTATTATGGCTGGTACCTCTGCCATGAAGATTACATCTACAGCTGAGACTGGGAAGGTTCCTGAAAGGGTTCTGCGTGGTGATTTGGACAAAGGTCAAACAAATTATAGACTGGAGGATCAACATGTCGTAGTTCAACCACCACAGGAAAGACTTCCATGGGGTAATCCTGCAGAAGGAAGAGTTCCAATGAATAGAGTTCAGAGTCAAGCAAAACAACATATTGAAAACATGGATGTAAAGCAAGACCATAAGAAATTGCTCCCTGATCCAAAAAAATCTCCCCTTGATAGATTCATGGAAACGTCATTGCCATCAAGAAACATGGACATGAGGTCACAGGGCTTGACTTTGATGATGTGTCTGAGTGCGAAATTCCTTGGGAAGATCTTGTGGTTGGTGAAAGGATTGGCTTAGGTACTTATTTTGCTACCAAGTTTTGATATACACTCTGCTGCTTTTGAACTAACAACTTTGACATGTTCTGGAAACTAATTTTAAATGGTGCTGAACTGTATTTCAAGTTGTTAGCTTTAATGGGTATGCTTTTATTAGTTGAATAGCAGTGGGTTGGTTGTATGAACTTGTATCTTCCTGATCTCTGCGTGAAAACTATTGATTGATTTGTTTCCTTCAATAGGTTCATATGGAGAGGTTTACCGTGCTGACTGGAATGGAACGGTAAGTAGTTCATTCCCCCATTTTATTTTTTGTATCTTGAGCTTGGCCATTTGTTCAAGATGTTCTGTGGAAGTCATAAAAGAATCAGATGAGAAACCAAATCATGGTCAATGCACTGAAGTTTTCGTTTATTTGCAGGAAGTAGCTGTAAAAAAATTCTTGGATCAAGATTTCTATGGTGATGCTCTGGATGAGTTTAGGAGTGAAGTAGGTGAACTTTTATCTGTTTCTATCTTGGAGTTTTCCTAAATAAATTATTTAATTTTCATATTTACTCAGTCCATTTGTTGCTTTATTTTTTTATTACGGATATACTTTATTTGACAAGGTCCGAATTATGCGTCGGCTGCGCCATCCAAATATTGTTCTCTTTATGGGTGCTGTTACACGCCCTCCGAACTTATCTATTGTATCTGAATATCTTCCAAGGTATAATACTTACTTTTACTACACAATCACTGTTTATATTGTGGAATGTGTGAATTAAATATCCCAGTCTAGACAACAAAGAAGTTGTAGCTGGCATGCATAAACTGAAAGCTCTTTTTACTATTTAATTTTATTGTGGTACATGCTATTAGATGTCTAGGTTCTTGCAATTCTGGAGTTGCTAAATGCTACATAAGACTCACCCTCAGATTCATACAATAAAACCTAAAGAGGTGTTTGGTGATTCATTGTTGGTTCATGATTTTGTCCTTGTTTAGGGGAAGCTTGTATAAGATCCTTCACCGCCCTAATTGCCTAATTGATGAAAAGCGGAGGATCAAGATGGCCCTTGATGTGGTACGGATGAATCTTTTATATTTTGTTGATATGTTTGTTTCTTTGTTGCTGCTCATAAAAATGACTTTCTCTCTCTCTCTCTCTCTCTTAAGGCCAAAGGCATGAATTGCCTGCACACTAGTGTACCTACAATTGTTCATCGAGATCTGAAATCTCCAAACTTGCTGGTTGACAATAATTGGAATGTAAAGGTGTGTGATCTTGCCCACAATTAATATTTGGCCACCAATAATCATTCACATCAATATATGCAATAAAACAGGTCTGCGACTTTGGACTTTCACGGTTGAAGCACGGTACATTTTTGTCATCCAAATCCACTGCTGGAACAGTAAGTAGCTAGCATCTGGATGACAAAATCATGTCCCCCCTACTTTCTGTCTTTCCCTTGGAACATGATTTATTATTATTTTTTCTTTTTTTGCATCATCTGTCAGCCTGAGTGGATGGCACCTGAGGTTCTGCGGAATGAACAATCGAATGAAAAGTGAGTGTTTTGCTGATGCTTTCTAACTCCTATCTTATTCTGGATATTCTGGTTATTGAGCATTTCCGTGAATATAGGGTTCCATCTTCCTGTCGAATGCTTGTGCTTGAGGTTTTGTGCTCAGACCAAAGAATTTTGGTTTTCTGATAGTTGGATGTGACTGCTTAGTATTTTTCATGTAGCGGGATCATGCACCTATCTAGTCAGGCTTTTATATGCTCCAAATATTTTGTACTCTATATGCAGCATTTTGTTACTAATAACCCAGTAAAACACAGTTCTCTTCTCCCTCCCTCCCACCCTCTGTCGCTCTCCCTGTCTCTCTCCTCCCTCACCCTATCCTGGCAACACGGACCCAAGTACCATAGATGGCACACAGCTTGACACACACATGCTCGTCACATGTGAGTATGTGACTGTGAGCCCTGTTCCTGGTGCACTTGCCAGCACTCCAACACTCCTTTCTTGCCTTCGACAATGGGTTCTTGCAAGCCGCCTTTTCCAGGAGACGTACTTACCTTTCGTGCCAACATTCCCCTTTGTCTTCCTGCCGATCCCCACTGCAACCATGGCACTTCTGCACAACACAGAGGATCCGTGGTTGGTTTAAAAATTAATAACCTGTGTACCAAGTGAGGAGATATTTCGAGATGTGACTAGTTTTCAATCAGCTCTCTGGCTAGTTCTACAATTTTCCAACCAATCATGTAGAAACCAGAACCGTACCGGTTAATTAATCTATCTTCCCTCCAGAACTATAGGTTTCACACTTTCGCTTGTTCTCCTGCAATACCTTTTTATACTTTGCCAAAACTAAAGTATGATAGGATCCTCACCGCTTACATTAATTAAATTCGGTAACAATCTTAATGCATCCACTACCTGAATTTTGTGCAGGTGCGACGTTTACAGCTTTGGTGTCATCTTATGGGAGCTGGCAACACTTAGAATGCCATGGAGTGGGATGAATCCAATGCAAGTTGTGGGGGCAGTTGGTTTCCAGGATAGACGGCTTGATATTCCCAAGGAAGTTGATCCTCTGGTAGCAAGGATCATATTTGAATGCTGGCAGAAGTGAGTTTCAAAAAAGGCCTTTAAGAATTTAACCTGTTCTCTGATCAAAGTCTCCTGTATCGGTCATGGCATTTAAAATTTGACACTTGATTTTAAATTTGAGCTAACATGTGCTTTGTCAATTGCCAGGGATCCAAATTTGCGCCCGTCATTTGCACAGTTAACAAGTGCCCTGAAGACTGTTCAAAGACTAGTGACCCCTTCTCACCAGGAGGTCCAGAGCCCCCAAGTTCATCAAGAAATCTCAGTGAACTTGACTCCTTAGGGGGGGTTTCTACTTTCCGTTGTGCATAGTTTTTATTCTTTTTCTGTTTGTGTTTCTCCAAAAGTCGGCAAATGCTGGCGCACCTTGTAGATTGAGCGCCCCAAGGTAGGGTATGTATAGAGTCGCCCATCAGACAGCAATCGGAAGAAGTGATTCAGTGTGTAGCAACTGATTGTTATGCCCCTCGTCAATCCCTCTTTTGTACACCCAACTGGCCAACCGGGTTCGAGCCCTCTGGAAAGCAGTGAGAACTCTTCGTGTTCATTGTGAAATGCCTGCCTATGTTAAGTGGTTTTTTAGGGAGAATTATCTGTTGGACGTCCAGAGTGATGGTCCTTTGTTGGAGGACACTTACTTTGGAGCATTTTGTCATAGGGAATTCTGGTTCGTTGAAATTAGGCCATAGGATACCGTGGACCGGTTACGGCCGGTTGAAAAGAGTGAGAAAACTTTATTTTGGACATCCGGTGCCTCTGAACCACTCTTGGGTCCGCTCCCAACCTGGTCTGGTTGGACCCATAAGAATCGGCCTTGACCCGGCCGTTAGGGTTAGGTCGCGCGCCGTCCCTAATCCCACACTCCATTCCTCGCCGTCCACTCGACTCCAGTGCTCGTCATGGCGTCGTCCACCCCAGTGCCCGTCGTCACTGACACCTCCAGCCTCGGCCGTCATCCACCGCCATCCGCCGCCATGTGGGGCTGAGGATCTGGAGCACCCCCGTGACCCGAAGATGAAGTCCCCCAGCAGGAAGAACGCGTGCAGTGCCCTGGTTCTCCACCTAGGGTTCCTCAATTGAAATGGATTCCAAAAGAGCGAGCTTTTTTGAACCCGTACTCTTTGGATTTGTATGCTTGTGGATGCGTTAGAAAGGTTGCGGTTTAGAAATCATTTAGTTTGGTTCTTTTCCTTTGTTTTGATTTACGATGGATCCGATGGCGCGTGTAGGTTGGCGATTAGAGTACTGTGCCTATGTAGAGCAAAGACCAGATGGGCTCGATGATTATCATGTAACTGCTAACTACATGCGTGTGGTGGACAAGGATCTCTTCAATTGGATGGGTTTTCATGAGTTGCTTTGTCAGGAGATAGTTCATGGTCAGGATCAAGAACTGCAAGTTACTTTCTTTGATAAAACCAAGGATGAGAAAGTGCGCATAGATTCTGCTCTGTTACATGCATTTGACGTGTATTGGGACTGTAGGAAGCTGCCACTGACTGTACAGGTTGTTGACATTGGTCCTCGTTTGTTACAGTTTCAGTTTTCCAGTGCCAGTGCCTCTGTTGATAGTCAGTCTTTTATTAGCACACAACACAGTCAGGTCAATTGTCTGCCACTAGCTATGATTTTGTCTGATGATATTCCAATGCCTAATCTAGTAGATGATCATAATGCTGAAGCTGTTCATATTCCAGTGCCTAATCCAGTAGATGATCATAATGTTAAAGTTGTTCATATTCCATAATGTGTTAGTTACCCTGATGTTGCTGCTGATACTGAGGTTGATAATCCTAATGTGGCTGCTAATTCTGATGTGGCTGCTAATCTTGATGGAGATGGTAATCCTGAGGTTGATGCTAATCCTGAAGGTGATGATAATAATGAGGATGATACTAATGCTGATGATGACCGGGAGAGTCTGATGAAATTGAGTATGTAGGAGTAGATGATGAGAAAGAGAAGTACTAGGATGTGCTAAATGATGATGTAATAATGACTATGATTACTATCTTAACACTGACCCAGAAGATGATGGCCCACTAGTCGTGGATGATGAGAGGGGCTATGAGGGTGTGGTGCATGTGGCTGACATAGATAACCCTAAGATAGCTGTTGGTGTTACTTTTGAAGATGGTTTCTGTTTTAAGAGGTGTATTAGGCAATATGTTGTGCTTAATGAAGTTGAACTTGCAGTTCCTTATAGTGAGTCACGGCGGTACAGAGCACATTATAAGGCCAAGAGGTGTAGGTGGAGGATTCATGCATCTCAGTGTCAAGATGGGAAGACATGGTAGGTATGTGTTGATTTCAGAGTTTGATTTAGTGTTTGATTCAGGTCTTAATGAAGTTGTATACTCACTGTTCAACTGATGCAGGTATGTTTCCTTTATTGTTTGATGCAGTGTTACATTCAGTGTTTCATCCCATGCAGCCTGACATTGTTTCCTTTGTTTCTAACTGCAAGTAAAGGAATAGACAAGTCCGTTACCAAAGTCTTTAGAAATGGTGTTGAGCACAGAGAATACATGAGGCATCTTGTCAAGAATTTTCAGAAGAGATTTATGGGAGAAGTGTTTGAAAGGAACTTGTGGCCTGCATCAAGGTGCTATAGACAGACAACCCATGACAGGCACTGGAATGAGATGCTCAAAGCATACCCAAAGGCAACAACATGGCTATTGAAAAATCACAAACAGCTATGGGCAAGGTCTAAGTTTAGCACAACAAGCAAATGTGACTATGTCACCAACAACATAACTGAGACCTTCAACAATTGGATCAGGGAGCTAAAGTCCTTACCTATTGTAGAACTCATGGACAAGATAAGACAGTCATCATAGAGAGGTTTTGCACAAGGAGGAACCTAGCCTCAAAGTTGTCTGGGTTCAAGATTTTGCCTCATGTCATGAAGGAACTGCACAACAAGAGCAGAAATCTGAAGTACACCATTCACAAGAGTGGCCCAATGGTAGGAGAAGTAAGAGTGAATAAGGATCTAGTCCCATGGATGTTCATTGTTGATCTGGACAAGAAAGAGTGCATTTGTAGAGGTTGGCAGTTAACTGGTCTACCTTATGTGCATGCCATAACTTTCATTGGCACAAGAAGAGTTGAATTGGAGGACTTTGTTGACCATTACTACTCCATAGAAATGTTCAAAGCAACTTATGCAACTGCTGTGCCTCCTATGCCAGGCAAGGAAGATTGGGAAAAGGTGGGAATTGGCTTCAAACTCCTTCCTCCTAATTGCAATAGAGCAGCAGGAAGGCCAAGGAAAAAAAGGATGGTTGAAGTTGAAGAGGGTGGGTCAACCAGCAAGGGCAAGAGAAGGTGTAAAAGGTGTGGTGGACTTGGCCACCTCCAGAAAACTTGCAATGAAACTGTCCTAGACCCTTATGCACCACCACCTGCACCACCAAAGAAGAAGAAAAGGACTTACAAGTCAAAAGTGGTTGAGATTATAGAAACCATAGATGCTCCATCTAAGAAGAGGAAACTATGCAGTAAGAAGAAGAAGAAGACAACTCCAACTGAGCCTACACCTCCTGATCAAATTATGTAGTAAGTGATCTATCTCTTGGCACTATTTTTCAGTTAGTTTAAAGGCATGACTAGTTTAAAATATGTTAACCACATGTTTCATCTTGCAGGGTTCCAAACTCTCCGGTCACTAGGAGTCAGGCTACCTCAATGCTGACATCCAATCCAAGCGCATGCACTAGGAGCAAGAGGGCCCTGATGGATGTCTAGGCACTGCAAGCAACACAGGAAAAGAAGAAAGCTTTTGAATTCTGTGCTTTTGTGTGTTTTTGAGCCACCTGTGCCATATGAACTTGGCAGAACTTGGTATTGTAATGTATTAAACATGGTATTGTAATCTGGCATATGAACTTGGCATAACTTGGTAATGTAGTGAACTTGGTAATGTATTCTTATGAACTTTAAGGCTTGGTAATATAGTGGATTAAAGGCTGTTGTTACTTGTTGTATGTTGCTGACCTTATTCAAGTTGGTCATGCTGAAAAATTATTAACCTGGGCAATGTCACATAACTGCATTTCTTTCATTTCACAAACATTACAAAGCTAAGTTCATGCCCTACATACAATAACATGCACATGGCAACAAAGCATATAACTCCTACAAACACACTGGCCACATTCATCCACCTAAGAACTCTGCTCTCCAGCTATTCTACTCACATCAGCCCTTAGAGCTACTACAACATTGTTCAGGTTCAACACAGAATTCTCCAAAGTCTTCAAGCCGGCCATCACTGCTGCAACATCCACGCCATCTCCTGCGCTCACTAGCTTCCACATGAAGAAACTGCACTCGCATTGCCCTGATCACGCCGAAGAACACAACATTGGGATGAACCCTAGATCCGATTTGAAAATGTCAAAATGGACCAGCAAGAAATGCAAATAACTCACCCAGTCACGATTCCTGCAAGTGTAGAACTGCTTTGTCTAGGTTGTTTTGGGTTCTAGACGTCCGCTCCACAACCGTCGCCGTCCTGCAGAAAGGGCACAACGGCTTAGCCTCTCTCGCTCCACGCGAACTTATCGAGAACGAAGCGCCCGAGCCTGTCGTCATCTTCAACCGGCCTCTGCTTGCTTTTTCGTGTCGACGATGCCAGCTCGCTCGCCACCGCCGCGCCCGCCCGCCGCCGCTGCCGCTGCCTTTATCACGGAGACGGGGAAGGAGAGTGAGATAGTTAACGGTCGGGTAACGGAAGGATTCTTATGTTGGGGGCGGACCCAAGTGTGGTTCAGGATGTCCAAAGTGAAGTTTTCTCTCTCCTTGACCGGTTGAAACCGGGGCACGGTGTCCTGTGGCCTAATTTCAACGAACCAGAGTGTTCTATGGCAAAATGCTTCAAAGTTGGTGTCCACCAGCAAATGACCATCCAACGGACAATTCTCTCTTTTTTTATTATGTTGCTAAAAAAGACAACATATTTGGAAGTTGGAAGTGTAATTCTGTACAATCAGGACACGTGAATTTAGGAAACATTGTACTTTTGGAAGATGTGTGTATGCTCGCATGCCGTAGCTGTTTGTGTTTGTTGGCCTGTGCCTTGACCGAGGAAAAGCCTAGAACACCTGGTCCATTGTTCATTTAACTGGATTGGTTTTCGTCAACGAGATGGTTACGAATTTGCCAAGTTGTCAACCATTTGGTAATTGTACTGTTGGGAATGTGGCGTGCTCCCTTTTATGTTTAAAACGAGGCAAATTCTGGATACAAGTAGGATCGACTTTTGTTTTGTGGAATGCAATTATGGAAATACGTTATTTTTAGCTAAGATATCCTGAAACTACATTTATTTCATGCGGAGACAGTTTACATCATGCTGAAAATTAAGTGAAATGGTAAAGAGGAATTCGTATATTTTTTTAATGAAAACAGAGGAATTCGTATATAAAAAAGAGATGAATTCTCTCTTTTGTAAAAAAGAAAACGGAATAAAAGAAAGATGAATTCCAAACAGCACCGATGTACAGTGACAAACTAAAGTACAGTAGATAACCCTGAGCCCTGAGCCCATTCTTCCCGTCCACGCCTCCCTTATCCACAACACACGCATACGTCACCTCCCCACCACGCGTCCTCCCGATCACCGTCCACGCGCGCCGACAGCTGAGATCCAACGGCCGGAGCCCCCCACCCCGCACGGAAAATCCCGTGCAGGCCGGCCCAGACCCCCAACGAACGTCGCGTGGCGCACGACGCACGGACGTCACAAGGACCCTAAACCCGCCTCTGAGCCGGCCGTTTCGATTCCGTCGTCGTGTAGCTCCCATCGTGTTCGACTAGCCTCCTTCCTCCCTCCGACCTCGCACACCACTAGCCCCAACCACCGCCACCTATCACCCAGACACCCCCCACCGCAAGCGCGGCCTTCCGGCCAGATCTGCGAGGTCGTGCCCGCCGACCGGTCCGTCCGCCTCGTTTCTCCGCTCAGCGGGTGGCGGGTTCCTCGGAGATTCCGCTGGTCGCGGGAATCCATTTGGTGAGTTGGGGCCGGGAGCGCCGGTTTGTGGGGTTTTCCTTTTGGGAGGGCGTCTGATTGATCGGCGACGGCTGTTTGGTTTGTGGATGCAGTACCCGCTCGCGTTGCCCGTGGATCTGGTTTGAGACGGAGGAGAGAAGCGCGGAGGTGATCGTGTGGGGTGGGACGCCATCAGTGCTGTCTGGGGTTCAGCCTGCTCTTCGGCTGTAGATCTGGAAGGTATCTACCAGTAGACCTGTGTCCCCTGCTTTGTGTGTGCTCTGATTTGGCGATCTGTACAGTGGAAATAACAATTTCTGCATTATGATTCACTGTGCCGTAATAATTTCACCATCTTTTTTTTTTTTTTTTTTTTTGCCCAGATTCTGGTCGTGCTTGCTAGTTTTGCTATGAAAATGCATTGTATTGACATGCTTCTGCGTTTGATTGTCCTTTTGGCGCTAGGGTTTCGTGGGATCGGTCACTACGAGCTGTCCCAGTCAGAGCACCTGCATCATCTCGGGCCATGGAGACTCTGGTCATCTCGGAGCGGCGCAGCCACCAGCTCCACCACTCCTCAGGTCGCCGGAAGAAGGCGTCATCAGCGTCGCCCCATTTCTCGTCGCCTCAGTCCACACGCGGCTACCATGCCGGCAACTGCCGGGCCTTCCACTCTGGCATCACCATCGGCATCCTGCCATCTCCGTGTGCGCAGGGGGTTGCACGGACCCGCTCCTCCCCTGTGCCCAAGACACCGAAACAGCAGCAGCTTCACCATGGGAAAAAGCGCAGCCGAGCAATCTCTATAAGCCCTTCGACGTCCCCTCCCTCTCGCCCTGAGCTCTGGGCTGGCCCGGGGTTCTGCAATTCGCCGCCTCCCAGCTCCCTCCCAATACCCAAGTTCTCCCTCCACCAGAAGCGCAGTGTCTCACTTGAGTTTCCACCTGCTGACCGGTCAGACGACGAAGAGGTGCCTGTGCATGCCAAATCAGCACCTTCATCGCCGACTGCAGGCTCAGGTGTTACCTTCTTTAGTGGTACTGATGCTACCATTGCAACAGAGAATCTGAGGAGGATCCTTCACCTGAAAATTGAGGATAACTGAATGGCGGTTAGGCAGTTCTGTGTACATAGGTTAACTACAACTGACCTTGGTAGTCTGTATAGGGTAACCGAGAATAACCACCGTGTACCTGGCGGTGGTTCTTCATCAACAGGAGTGCTGTAGGTGGTTAGCAAGCACAGTGAGGAGGTTAGGCAGTTTGAAACTGCAGTGAAGGATGTGGTGAATTTCACATTCACATCACTGCAGTTTCTGAGTCACCTTTGCAGCTTGTACCTTGTAGTCGCCTATTAGTAGCCAATGCTCCATTTAGGTGTTAGATAGTCTTTCAGCCTGTTCGCTTGTTGGTTTCAGCCATGGCTTATCAGCCAGCCAACAGTGTTTTCCTCTCACAACAAACCAGCACCAGCCGAGCTTATCAGCCCAGAAACCAACCAGCGAACAGGCCGTATGCATCCTAGCTACCCATCATTAACCAGTAGCGATAGCCTTCATAATCCTTGCTCCTGTAGTTCATCTCAGGCAGGGCATTGTAGGCTAGAGCTTACAACCTGCCATATATATAGTCTTCTGTAGGATGGCTGCATCTCTTGAAACTTGCATTCTGTCTCATATTGCATCCTCCAGACTCACCTCCCTTCATAACATCTTCTTGTGTTATGCAAAGTGCACAAGGATCTCCCCTCTCTGGCACTTCTGTTTTTGGAATGAAGATGCTCAGAGCAGTTGTTATGAAGTCCCGATTCAATGTTCTTTCTCCTCCATGTCTCTACTGACTTTAGCTATGCATCTCCTTTGTTTCCTCAGTTCGTTGCATGTAGCATGTCAAATTGTGTTCCTTGCCATCCAATCCATTTCGAATCATTCCTCTCAAAGTTGCATCTAGTGGTGGATTTGTCTTCGTTTAGGTATCTTCTGTACCTCCTTGTCCTTGTTCATGTTCCTGGAGCATGCCCAGGATTCTAGTCTTCTTCATGTATTCTCACAAAGGGCTTCATGTATCAGAGATCTGCAAACGGTCAAACCTGAATATGGTAATTATCTATTTCATGCCCCTCTACCCACTACTGTCATACATATAATCAGACGGTGCTAATGTGATATCGTGCTGCAGGTTTGCTTGTCCAATGCACTTAATGTCATCCATACCTGGAGTTCGGAATCGGCCAAGCATCTATCACTTAGTTATCTGTTTTCGTCATAGTCCAGTATTGTGCCAAACTGTTGTTTTTGTGCAATATTTGATGGGCTAGTCTGTTTGTGGTACTGTTTTAGTTTGTTACTAATCTTTTATGGTGTCAGTGTTCCATGCTGATGCTGTGGCATCCTGTTGCTTTCTAGTTAAATACTTCAATGTTATGTAACTTCATGTTAATTTTGGTCCTGTTTCCGTGACTTGTTTGAAGTTTCATGTTATCGAACGGTATTCCCTCCAAGATCTAGTTTGAAGATCTTATGTTTGGTCCATGTACACCACAGCTTTTGTTGTGATCCTAATCATCGAGTGACAATGGTTGTTGTACTTAGACTCTCCTTTTTAAGGATATATCAAAAATCAATGCTTGTTGATGATACTTTGTGTGGGGAAGATGGCTATGGTTGGACTTGTTGAGACGGAAGTAGCTTGTTTGTGGAGACCGTTTGAGAACTTGTTGCATACAAAAGCACAGGTTGATTAGTGTTGTGGAGATACAAGAGCAATATTGCTTGTCAGCAACTCAGCATCTGTTGATTCTTTCTTTTCACTGAAAGAGTTGGTAGTTCGTTGCTTCTGTGCTGACCCCTGTGGTTATTGTCCCTGTGTGCTCCATTTTCCGTTTGTGCCCACATGCTTGACTACACAAGCATTCATTCTGTTTTGCGATTCCAGTTCGTGGCTATCCAATGACTGGACCGTCATCATCCTCTGCCAGTTGGTTTTACTGATTGGCTTGCCAGCTCTGCACTATGACTCCTCATGATGTATCCAGTTTTGCATCTAATGCTTCTAGATCTACAGGAGTATAGTACTGTGTGTGTTAGGTTGTCATCATACATGGCAATTCGGTCTTCTGGAATGGCAACCAGAAGCAGCGGGACGGCAGATGTTGACCATCCAAACATACGGGGATTGAGGCTAATCCGACACCGTCCAAACAAAGCGTAAGGCTTCTTCGTTTAGATGGAGGAGTATTGGCGTGGTTCGTGTCGTGAAACGACATCTATACGCGAACAGACGTCTACAGACGAACAAGCGTCTCTTCACGAATGATCTCATCCATCAAGCACAGGATTAGACAGTTAATTTTAGTTTCAAATGACATGTGTTTTGGGAACAGTCGTGTTCTTTTGTTCCACTTGTATAAATATATTTCTGAGATTAATGAAAGCAATGGTTCTATCAAATCTTGTTCATTTACATTCACGCTTTAACACGTTATTAGCACTGGAATGCTCTCTCTCTTCGCTTCGAAAGGGACGAACAGAAAACGCTTGGACGCAAGAACAAGAAGAAGAACAACAGAGCGCGGATTTGGCTTCTCCGTCTCCGTCGATTCCAGCGGAGGCTACCCGGTGTTGCCGGCAATGACAACAACTCCGATGTGCATCATCTTCCAGGACACCAGCGCTCGCTACAGAATCATCACTGCCATGCTGATGGCCATCGGAGATGCCAACCCAAGCATTAGGCCTGGCATAAAATGCTAGTCTTCATCGCGGAGCAGTAAGAAATCATGGTTATTTATTGATCTATACGATATTCTTACCTTTCCGAGAAACGGCGGCGACAACGACCTCGCCCAAATCGGCAACAGCGGCCTCGGCTTCACCAAACCCGACGGCGGCAGGCCCTGTGCTCGCCCCTCACGCCCGGCAGCCTTCGCGCTCCCGTGGCCGGACAGCCCGAATCGGTAGCCCCGAGCCCGCGGCAGGGCGCCCCGCACGACCGGCATTTGCCGCCGGCGGCAGCCGACTTTCTCAAGGCCACAAGGCTGGGCGGCTCGCGCAAGTGGCTCCTGTCCCCGCGGCGTCGAGCCGGTGGCAGGAGGCCCCGCGTGTCTCCTCCCGCACTTGTGGCCAGCGCCAGCATGCGACGGTGCCTGCGGCTCTCGCGGCTAGGCATGCGTGCGGCTTCATCTCCACAGCGGTCAGGTCTTCCCTGGCGGCGTCATCTCCCCAGCGAGGGGGAATCATCCTCGGCGTGACGCACACCAGGCCGGCAGCAGCGGCGCCCGCACATGTCAGGCCAACGAGCGGCGGAGGCCGCTCCCAGTCACGGTCTCCTTGGCGGGAGCAGCGGCGGTGCCCGCTCGGCCTAGTTTCCGATGTAACTGTCCAAGCGTGAGGAACCGTCCGCATGATGGTTCTCCCTGGGAAAGGATAAGGATGTGCGTTTTTGCATAAAAATCCTTCTTTCTCCTATGAATTACATGATAATCCTAATAAATTATTGATGTATTCCAGATTTATGTTTAAGCCCTCAGGTTTTAACATACTGCAGTGTACTATATTTACCCCACGTAAATGCTCATTTTACACCTTAGATTTAAAATGCATTATGATGCATAATATTTACCTCCTGTAAATAAGTATCTTTGAGACCCATGTGTCATCAAGAATTGCATCATGACATGTACTGCTGCAGATGAATTTATCACTATAAATTCGCTTTCCAGATCCTATGTTTTCTAGAATTTTTAGTACTGTTCAAAGCGTTTGTCCAAATTAGCAAACCCATTAAACATGTGCTATTAACATTACATGTTCAAAGTGTTTGTCCAAATTGGCAAACCTAACAAACATGTAGTATGATCATTACATTGTTCAAAGTGTTTGTCCAAATTGGCAAACCTAATAAGCATGTAGTATAATCATTACATTGTTCAAAGTGTTTGTCCAAAATGACAAACCCAATAAACATGTAGTATTACTATCATGACCTTATTATTGTAATTACTTTGTTATTTACAATTTTCATTTCATGTTAAGCCATTTTAAACTTTATTATTTAAAGCTCATAGTGCTTACATTTTTTATGCAAAATCTATTAAGTGTATATAACACAAATGTTTCATATTGTATGTTGGCCATACACAAGGTAGAAACATAGTTGTGCTGTAGGATCTACACTAAGTTCTTAGTGACTATCCTCAACGTGCGAACCCAACATCACAAATTGAAACATATGGTCTACATCTTTTTATAAGATGACTACCATTAATCAGCATTCCTATTGGCCATACACAAGGTAGCACCATAGTTGCTACTGTGGGATCTACACTAAGTCCACAACTTAATGAATATCCTCAACGTGCGTACCCAATTTGTTTGCGGATTAACTAAGATCTACATCAATCTTTTGATGATTACCTTAAAATGTGTTTATACAAATTGCATACACCACTTGACATCTACTGTTCAACACACTATGTCCATATTATTAGAGTTCTACATCTTTATGATGACTACCTCTAATGTGTTAGCATAAATGAGGTTTACACTATTAGTGAGATAGATCTTGTTTCCTATTTATTTTGCATTAATTAATACAGCATCACCATAGCAATTTTAAATTTACCCTTAGCGTAAATTCAGAAAATCTATGGTTTAAACATTGTTAGAATAATAGCCAGCAAAGAGTTTGATCTCTTACTCCTGATGGTCACCATTATCTAACATGGTCAATGGACGTAATGTTAAACTTGATGTTCAATGGATTCATGGCAATATTTGATGCTCCTCGTAAGAGAGCATCACCACTTATGATCAATTTAAATACGGAGTTTTATTTAAATAAAGCACCATATACATCCAGGTCACACGTATGTGTATCTCAATGGGTGCAAATCGAAGCACTATATGGCTAGTTTTCAATGAGTGATACGAACAACACAAGGCAGTCATTCTGCCCAATACCAACTATGATTGGCCACAACTTTATCTCTAGAATCTTAAGTCCACTTGAGAATATAATTATGTTCCAAAATATTGCCTAACATTACGTTTTCGCGAAAGCACACAACTTACCAAATGTATTCTAGATTAATTCATACATTACTTCA